TTGACAAGCACAAGCTGTAGCAGCAACAAATTCCACTTCAGTACTCGATAAAGTGACAATTTTTTGCTTCCTGGAAGACCACGAAACAACCCCTGTGCCTAGCATAAAAACATAACCGGAAGTGCTCTTTCTGTCGTCTTGATCTCCTGCATAGTCGTTGTCCGTAAAGCCAATAAAATCTGACTTTTCTCCTTTCTGGTAGAAAATGCCAAAATCTTTCGTTCCTTGTAAGTAGCGAAGAATTCTCTTCGCAACTAACAAATGCATCTCGTTGGACTTTCCATATATCTACTTACAAGACTTACTGCATACATAATGTCGGGTCTTGTAGTAATTAGGTACATTAAACTGCCCACAATTTATTTGTAAAGCGTGCTATCCACCTTCGTTCCTTTCCCAACTTTGTTTAGTTTTAAGCCAAACTCAACGGGTGTGTTGGTGGGATTGCAGTTCAATATCTTGAACTTGTCTAAAATATCTCGCACATACTTCTTTTGGAAAATAAATATCCCATCATCAGATTGCACCGCTTCTAATCCAAGAAAGTAATGGATATACCAAGATCAGACATCTCGAACTCATCCATCATAGACTTCTTGAATTCAGCAAACATGGCACTATCGTTCCAAGTATATATAAGATCATCAACATATAAGCATACAATAAGCATTTTCGCACCATCCCCAATCTTCACAAAAAGTGTATGCTCATATGGACAATTTTGAAAACCCATTTTCAGAAAATAAGTCTCAATGCGACTATACCAAGCTCGGGGGGCTTGTTTGATAAATACCTCTTCCTCCAAATATCCATGTAGAAAACCTGATTTGACATCCAACTAGAAGATATGCCATGAATTTTGCGCCGCCAATGCAATTACCATTTTGATGGTGTCACCTTGCAACTGGAGCATAAACTTCAGTGTAGTCCACACCGTACTCCTGCTTGTATCCCTTAGCCACCAATCGCGCCTTATATTTGTCAATTTCACTATTTTCCTTCAATTTCGTCTTATAGACCCACTTGACGCCAATGGTTTTCTACTACTCAGGAAGATCAATAAGTTCCCAAGTATCGTTCTTTTCAATAACTTCAATTTCAGCATCCATCGCCTTTCTCCATTTCTTTAACGAAACTCTAAAAAATTGTAGGGTCGCAATCCGCAAACAATGCAAAATGAGTAATTGCATCATCATTTACCTTAATTCCTGTTACCTCATAGTCCGACATCCGTGCAGGCCTTTTTAGAGTACGCCAAAGTGACTGAGCTGCTGAATCAGTTTCTTCCAAAGCTGTTGGAAAATTTCCACCAGTTGGTGTAATTTTAGCAGCTGTTGGAGATATTTCAACGATTGTAGGAGCATAATCCTCTGAATTTCCAAGTATCAAGGACGGTTCTTCAACTTCATTCTCAAATAGGACTGGGGTAGGCTGCTGCATATTCCAATCCCAAGTAGTTTCTTCATCAAAAACAATATCTCGTGTCACGACCCGGGAGCACCCCCAAGTCGTAACAAGGCGTACTCGACCCCGAAGGGGTCTTATACAAGCCACATAGTCATTCATTGCATTCAATAATGAAAATAGTGCGGAATAATAAAAAAACTTATTTACATCCACACATTTAAACTTCTTAAAACAACTTTAAAAACACACAGCGGAAGTCTAAGTCTCACATGGCCATCTTAGACACAAACAAAAACATAAGTAGGGACACGGCCCTTTACAATCAAAA